TATATACTATTGTATATTTTTTTCATCACTATGCCCCCAGAAAATATGCCAACAAAAATTTGTTTGGGAGTTTGCCATTGTTCTTTCATCACTCGACGGCTTTATGCTATTAACATAAATAAAATGCATATATACATTCGAGTTATTCATTAAAGGTTAAGCAGCTACGACTTATGCCTAAAGCCAGACTACATATTAACTATTGTTAGTTCCCTAATGAGTACGATAATTATTTAAATAGAATTCTGTGTTCAATAACACTCATCACTTTCTACTTTACGATACCTATATATAGGTCAATCTAGAAATATTAATTTAGAGAAGGTTAAACGTCTCAACTCTTGTCGTCCAAACGTCCAAAAACTGACTAATACTCTTTCAAGGTTATATTATCTATTTTACGTGTCAGCTTTGTTCCTTTTTCTCATCAATACAACCATAAAATGCCACAGAGGAGGCTGGCAGGGTACAGCTAGTTTATTATAGGTGACTTTATGACAGAATAACTACATTAAATAACTACATATTAAATTGTTTACCCTCTTATCTAAGCCGGAGTCTGTTTTTAAACTTTTATGTTAGTGAGACCTCACGTGACACAAATAAACTTTATCAGTATAGGTTTTACTATAAAGTAGGTATATTATAAAGTTGGTATCAGCCAAAAAGTTTATTGAGCAGTGATAGGTTATCGCGACACTTTTATTGACATATTGTGACTATAACTTTTTGACTCAGTGTATATAAATTATTCTAGATATGGCTAACCCAGAAATATAAACAAGGTCTGGGGGCATATTCTTATCGTTTTGTAAACTTTAAAAACTAATATGTTGGAATGAATGGAGTGGGTAAAAGAGGATATGGCTAGAAAGGGAGTTAGTAGTGAACTGACGAGTAATGATAGAGAATAGAAGAAGAAAACTTGAGAAGAAGAAAAAAAGAGAGAAAGTTTCCCCACTCCGACGCCATGCCCTTTACTAAGAGCGCTGGCGGCATTAAATCGCACGATTTTCTTTCGTTTTACACGGCTCTGTCATGAATCTAGGAAATTTAAAATAATGTAGAGATTGTAGGGCCACTCTTAACGAAAAAAAATTTTTTTTTAAATTAATTGGAGGCTTTGTTACCGATCAAGCACAGTTTTGCCGAAGCACATATTTTTATATTTTCGCAAATTGTACGAAAACAATATTATTTTGCGACGAAAATTTTTTTGAATAAGAAAAGTATATAAAAGTATATAGCCCCGAGTATATATTAAGCCCCAAGTCACACAAGCTGAGAAAAGGAAAGGCGAAAAATCGTGATTTTTTCGTGTATTTCGTAAAGTTTCTAATGAACTTGACTTTAGCAACTCTCATTTTCTTCTTTTTATTTCTCACACTACAACATCCTATTTTTTGTTTTTCCATTAAAAATAATCCCTGTTATTATTCAATAAAGTTGTTCGATTTTTCAATAACTTGCCACGAAACGGATTTTTTAAAAAGTTTTTTTTCTTAAACTAATACCCGACTTATCCCGAAGAAAAACCAGGTAGTTTTTTTTTGATGTGAACATTCTCAGCCTGTACTATTAATTTGACATAATAACAAATTATTAACACATTATTAGTTTTTGTTAAAATAATTGTGACGTGAAGGCACAGTGTCAATGTTGCATTGTAAATATCTAACCATTTAATGTTCACATTGTAGGTGAAAAAAAGTACGTGTGTCGCGGCACCGTTGGGACTAAAAGCTTGGGCCCTAGCCTAAAAAGGAGCACGTTATAACTCTATACTCGTACACAAACGGCTTGAGTCAGGTGGGTGCTTACTAGTTTTTGGTAATCCAAATTTAATTATTTTTTCAATTACTTGCCAGCCCAGCGTTGGGAACTAGGACGCTAGGAGGATAGACAGCGCTAGGACTACTACTAAACCGCTTTTAAACTATCGCATTTCGACTACTAAACCAGTTACCGTTGGAGTAAGGAACCTTCATCTCTACAGGCCCTATACCGCAAGTCCGTCGCAAAAAAAATAGTACAGAGCTCCTAACAGGCAATCTTCCCCGACAGTGTTTCTATCTACGCTTATATTTTTTATTTTATTTCATTTATAACTTTATGGACATTTGTACATCGGCGGACTTAATGCCCTAGGCATTCTCTCCCAGTCAACCTTTAGGTAGTGTAGAAATCGATAACACTAATCACTACGATATACACTACACAACACACGTAATTTTATACCCAAGCAAATACACACTATACACATACATACATATACATACACATATATATAAATACACATACATACACTATACACATAAATATATATATATATATATATATATATATATATATATATATGTATGTATCTACACACATACAAACATATATTCGCATTATATTGGTACACTATGATTAGCAAAAGAAGAGAAGAAGGTTGTGGACTTACTTTTTAATCCTGTTTTTTTTTTAAATCCCGTATTCAACCGGGACCGTATTCCAGAGTACGAAGAACGCTTGGACGAAGAACGAAGAGCTCACGAAGTCGGAATTGTGAGATGGGCATAAGAGAAGCAAATTATTTGCAGATCGGAGATTCCTGTCGTGATTAGACGACAAGAAACAGAGGTAAGGAGCAAGGTAAGTAGGATAGGTATGGCTGTATAGGTGCCGGCGAAGCTTATTTAGTAGGAGTTTGGGAAGACACCATCCTTTTTGTAACTTACATGGCTACTTACTGGGCTTAGAATTAGAAGTGAATACGACGCATTCATGTCATTCGTCTTTGTCGTCGCCGTCGTCATACCCCTAATGTGCCATATTGTGTTCAGCGCAAATATGAGAGGCCCTTTTCAAAGCCAAGCGCATGTCTCTTACAAATATAAACATATATGAACATAATATATCAAATCACATATTTACCGTTGCCTACATTTGAAACAACTCCGTTATGATTAACTTAACCATGTGAACCAACTGCTATTACTTTATGTTTTAAGACATTGGGGGCTTTGGAATCGTTATTGGATTCATTTTAGTGATTATTACTTCAGTGAAAAAGTGTTTCAACGTGTTTAGGTGTAAAATTTTTTTTTACTATTTACACAAATGTGTAATGAATACACATTAGAATATTGAATCAGTTCCATAATTGTAGTATTACAAAAGTATAATTTCTGTAGATAATATTACCACTAGTACTAAATACTAGTATTAGAGCTAATATTAGTAGTAGGAGGATAACTATTATAACAGGAGAGACCACTCTTCAGTAATAGTGCAGGGCGCCCTGCGTAAAGATTAACCTACGACTTGAAGAAAGTGGCTGGCAGTGGTTAGATGCAGACTGCCCCAGAATGAGGTAGTTGGCGCTCCTTGGGGGAGCCCTTCATTCAGCAGATGACTTCGAGAGGATGATGATGATGATGATGACTCGTAATTTGGAGATTGTAAACTCAAAGTAAAACTCAATAGTAACTAAGTTCTTCGCTTGGCATAATCACTTAAAAACTTATTTAGCGATTACCTACTCACAATAAAAAGTAGAAGCTTTCTCTACCAATATTACTGTAATCGTTAAGTTTAAAATACAAGTTCTAACTTCGCACTAAGGCTCATTTTTTATGAATGTTATTCTTTGTAAATCACCTTTACCGACGACACTTTTGATTGCATCGTTTGTTACGTTACTCTGTAGTCTGTACTCTAATTTGCATTTCAATGTCAAGATTTTGTTAGACCCTCGTATTTAAATGCTAATATTGACACCCTTACAAATCTAAAAGTTTTTGAGATTATTTAAAAGGTTTTGAAATGATACTCTCTTATAGACAGTGGTTACGACCTATTAAGAGATACTCGTAGATTGCTTTCTGAAATCGTGATTATAAATCTACGCGTTTATGATCATAAAAAACAGTTATAGTTGATTTAAAAATACGACTTTTAAACAAGCCATTGTTCTATTATATTATATCACGCAATGGGCGAATTAATAAAGATCCTTGACTGATATTTTATTGAGTATACTCGTATTTTTCTACAGAACACGCGAGCACTGATAACCCTATTAACACCTCGGCCTTTGGGGTCTGTGCTACAGAGCTTGGATACACCGATTTTTACATTCTTATTGAAGACGCGTGGAATTTAAATAGCGCTACATTAGTAAGGTCGATTCCCGGGCCTGAGCAAAAAAACCTGTTACTTTGACAATACAAACATACACTTGATTTAATTTGTTTGTATAGAATACATGATGTAAATTAAAATGTCTGTCATGGATTAGAAATAGGAATTCTATTTGTAATGTTATCAGAGTATTTCAATTTCATTTACTTCCATTTCAACATAAAGAAGTAACACTTATAACAATGAAACGATATTATCTGGTAGACTCGTTTATGTAAAGTTATCACTAATTTAGTTAGAAGTACGTAGTTAAGTTCTTTTTACGATAAAAATGAAGCATTACTTATTATTATTAAATTTTAAATATACTAATTTGCTTAGATAACTTTAAGAAAATAAGACGCTTTCAAGGAACTAAACTTTTGAATAATAATATGTGCGATAATATAATTCTTGAAGACATACCTAAATAAAACAAACAAGTATGTGTAAAAAGAAGGTTAACTTAAATAGTCAGGTTATCACAATAAAATAAATATAATATTAGATACAGCTATATAATTATGAATATAAAATTAACCAAATTACAATGTATACGATTACAAAGCTATCTGCGTTCAAAGACGTCTAGTAAGTTACAATATTTAAAAAAATACATTTTACATGAAAATAGTCAAATATGATACTAATCTGTGTTATAAAACGTGCAAAATCAACAAAATATTATTAAACAATTGAATAATAAAGTTTTAGACATTTGTTTTATTGTTTTTTTTTTCATGTCAAAACCCATCTCTATTTTTCAAATTGTACACTCATACAAAACTATCCGACAACATTAATCTTTTTTTTTTTAATATTTTAGAAAGGAATTAAACTTCAGGCACCCTCTCTGGGTATCGTCCTGGAATATAGTCTGGGTTATTGGGATTGTATTCCCAAATGAGGTACTCGGGCTCGTTGAGGTAAAGTGGTGGTATCTCATCGCTTGGCTCCATCTCCTGTTCAAGCAAGTCTTTATTACGCTTTAGCAACTCTTCAACCCTTGCTTGAGTTTTTTCTGAAATATCTAAAACAATAGGTTCGATAATGTAATGAGCTATGATAATCAATCGCCGAGATCATAGCATGATTAGTATGAATCAGTTAAGCAGGGTCGTTTTATTCAATATTTTAAGGATTTACATAAGCAAAACGCCTTACGGCCTATATCATTCGAAACTCTATTAAATTGATTTTTATTAGTGTGTAAGGTAAACAGCTAGACAAGTTATGGGAATAAATATATAATAAGCCAACATCCGCTTATGTTACTGTTGCAAAATTAACCTTTGAAAAAACAGGTTGAATTTACTGAATATACGGTTAATCTATGTGATTTTTAAGTATTTTCTGTGTCTTTTTTGAACTCCAACTCTCTATTTAATATTATATTATATATTTTTTTGAAAATCTTATTACAAATATAATATCAAAAGTGACTCGTATTTAATCTCTTTAGTTAGTTTACTTTTATGTCATAATTATCGACATCGTCAACGAACTCATTTGCAACCAATTCCATCGATCTTAATCAGTAAAAAATACTAAGTCTAATGGATTATCTTTTCTGGTATTAAAAAAAAATAAAACAAACATTTCATAAAACACTAATAATTAATCATGTCTTAATTTAGGATATTATTACTGTCCTAAAAGTTCTATAAATTGTAGAAACGTAAAACGTTTCATAGGTTTTGAATCAAATAATAAAAGGGAACTTGAGGATGCCTATGTCGCAAGACAACCTGACCTGGTAACTGATATTAAAAGTTAAGTTTTATACATAAATAATATAAGAAAATAGAAATAAGTAAAGTTATTATAATATAGTTAAGTAAAGTTAGTACAGTTTTGTTTTTATTTTATTGTAATACAAATTGTGCAAGGTCAGAGTAAATAAAGGCTATTTTTATTTTTATTTTATTTTATTTATTTTTATTTATTATAATAAAATATTGGTGCTAATTCTGTTGTTCAAAACTCTCTAGGTCAAGTCTCTAGTGTCAAACAACGTTTCCTATTCTGAAAACGTAGTATTTGACAGGACTAACTATTTTTTTTTGTGATTTTTAGTTTAGAGTTTTCGAAAAACAGAATTACTACCATTTTTAAGTTTAATTTTTAAACAATTTCAATACCTATTTGTAGAGAAAAATGCCTATCAGTATAAATATAATATCACACTTACTAGTTCTACGCAAATCTATCCTAAGTACTCTCCTATTTTGTTCAAGGGAGCGAATGAGCGTCTCCTCGGCATCTCCAGAAAGATCGTTTGCTGCCATATCCAGTCTAGTTAAACCTCGATTCAAACTGAGGATACCCGCCATCTAAACAATCAATTAGCAAACACATAACTAGGTGGTGGCGAGACGCGGTGCGAAGCGCGCGTGCTCTTTCGGAAGCACAAAGGGAACATGGGGGTTCCCACATAGGAGGGGGTTATCTAACCGCCGCAGATGGCCGAAGTAAGTTGGGGTAACAGGTATTTCCTTTCTAGGGTAGACCTGGTTCCTCGGCTACTGGTACCGGAGACGGCGTGCGGTTTTGAGTCGGTTCGAGTCCGACATAGCCACCGGTTGGTGGTATGGTTTATTCCACTATGTTCAATTAAATCAGGTATATTTAAGAAAAAACAAATTTTTTGAAATACGAAAAATACAATCAAAATATGCAACTGAGATGGAGATACCGAAACAGTTTAGTAAATTCTTACTGGCGGATTATAGCCACGATGGAATTCGCATAATTTTGTTTTGTTCGGAGGAGATGAAAAGTTCATGAATATAGTTTCATGTATGCTCGGAGATGGTACATTTAAAGTCTGCAAAGACATTCCATTTTTGCAATTATATACGCTTCATGGTGATATAGGTATAGGGAGCACATATAATGCCACAAATATTGTTCCCTTAATATACTGTCTAATGTCTCATAAGACACGTAAAGCGTATACAATCGCGTTTCAAATGGTGATTATGTTGACTAATTTCACCTGGGTGATATCACCTAGGTGAAATTATTCCAAGGTGAAATGAGGAAACCAAAAAATCCACTTTATTCAACCGAGTGATATCACCCAGGTGAACATAGTGGAATAAACCGGTGGTATACGAAGGGATTTCCGCACAGAAAAAAGTCAACATAACTACAAATTCTATACTCTAATCTAGTTCTTTACTATATATACTCTAGTCTAGTATATCCTACACTCTCTAGTATATCCTATACTCTCTAGTACGAGTATATTCTATACTACAGTCTACTTCTAGTTTTTGAAAATCTTATGTTTTAACTGATAATTATATCTCTTTTTATTTTTAAATTAATATCAGTCATTAAGATTTATTAAGAATAGATTATTATTGTATACCTTCTCTGCGGATGCTCCACTAAAACCACAAGAATTAACGATTAAAGTTTGTGGCTTTTCCTTTGATCTGACGAAAGACGCCGCGAACATCGTTGCGCATTCCAAAGACATTGGGTTCAAACTAAAGTCTGTAATTTTCGATTATTATACCTATATAATGATGACAAATTGCATTTAAATTAATGATAATAAAATTGTTAATAATACCCAGAAGTTCGATGGGAGCAGCAGGTTTCATTTGTATAGCATATGCTATTCCTTGTATTCCAACTTCTTTAAATCTGTTGTTGGCGATTCTGACTACCTTAATATTATTATGAATGGAAATAAAACCACCAAGAGCTTTCATTCCATAATCACCAATTTTACAGTGGTTAAAATCTAATTCTTCAATACTTTCTTTCTTCACAAGGTTTTGAAGGATAATTTTTACTTTAGAGCAATCCAAGTTACTTCTATTGATACGAAATACTCTTAAATGTTTCAACTCCTCCAATCCTCTACAAAGTGACTCACAATCGGCTATAGTGAACTCAAAATACCTCGGTTGGTACTTGTCTTGTAGGTTATTTATTCCAAATACTAGTGATATTTCTTCAAGGTTGTATAATTTGGCGAGTACCGGCTCTAATGGTATATGATCGTAAACCTTGGGAACACTAAACTCGCAAGTATCTTCTACAAGACGAGGATGGGGTACTGGTGGAGTAGGTTGGCGCGCCATTTGCAATTGATTTAATGATAACTCGTAAATATACGGACTTACCTATTAATGAAGAAAATTATGTTATTTTTAAGAGACAGTTTCTATTTGAGAACAAGGAAGACAATAAAGTTAATTCCAAAATCTGTTACCTATTTCCTAGTTAAATTCTTAGACTGATAAATTGTAATCAAGGTGTTTATATTTTCAAGGAACGAAGTAACAACAACAAGTTTAACAATAAAAGTGTCAATACAGTCAGTGCATGTTGTATTTGCCTATAAGTATTTGTTACCGCCTTTCTAAGGAGAGGCCAATGTCCAGCAGTATACTATTATAGACTGTTGATGATGATTTGTTACACTTTGTTTAGTATTGTTTGGTCATATAACTTTTGTAGCCTGTAAGCATCTAAACAAATGTTGGCAACTCTTAATAAATAAATAAGTTAAGTAAATAAATTTAAATCAAAAATTGCTAAAAAAAATTGTAAATGAAGTAACTGCAGATACCGATTTCGACTGATTCCACCTACGTTTCATGTCTTAAATTATATTTAGTGATACGGAATTCCTGTCAAGTAATGAAAGTATGATTATGTACCAGCGAAGATAACTCTACAGCCTCGTCTTCTCCAAAAACATCAGGATTGACATTTTCCAAATAATCTTGCAGTTTTGCGGACAGAAACTTGCCCTTCCAAAAAGTTACTCCTAATTCTTTTCTCGATGGAAACACGGTATAGAATGATCTTTTCCAATATTGATCATCCTAAAAGGAAAGGTTTTTTTATTAGTGTCATTTTGTAGATAAATATCTTAAAGTATTATAAATCTTAAATATCTTAAGCGAGAGACTTCTTTGACAAACCTCACTAAGAAAGGTCATAATTATCAATTACTTATACTGTGGACGGAAGGTCCCGAGCCTTCCGTCCACAGTAATAGTCCTGTATAGAAATGCTAACCTTGCATGACACTGGTTTTCTCTGATAAGACAGGTACTTCTAACCGTCTTTCAAGCGATTCTATAGCGCGTCGGTCGAGTTTGCAGAACTTTCAAAGTATCAAAGTTCAAAGTATCAAAGCAGGCGATCATGAGCGGCAGACGAGCAGACGGGTCACCTGGTGGAAAGTGACTACACTTTCCATCAGGTGACCCGTCTGCTCGCCTGCTCCCTCTTCCATAAAAAAGATCATGAGCATCTCTGAGATATTTTCTAAGTGATTAAGAATTTCAAATACGCGTATACATACCTTAATATGAGGTACGCTAGCCTTTAATGGAATATCTGCTGGATACAAGTCCATAAGCATATCCACATCTTTCTGTAGAATGTGTTTAAGTGGGTTTATCTTATGGAATGCTCTTGATAAAGAGAGAGCAGCAAAGTACGTGAGGGGTGCAGGGGTGAAATCATCGTCCCATTCGAAGTCCTCAGCGACTATTTTGCGTGGTGCCTCGCCAGGAGATGTTTTCATAATATCGGACGTAGCATATGCTTCTCTTGTATTTAAATTCACAACGTAGGGAATCTTCATTTTGTAATATTTATTATAAAATGTATTATTATTTTATAAACACTGATGGTTTTGGCGACTTTGAAGGATGTCACTAGATTTTTTGAGAACAGATTGTATTTATTTTTCGTATTTTACTTCAACTCCCCTGTACTTGCTTATTCAGAAAAAACAGTGCAAAGATAGAATATGACATATGATGCAAAGATAGAATATGACATATGATGCAAAGATAGAATATGACATATGATATTATTTTTAAAACTACTACACTATCATTTTTGTGTTTAAAACTTTTTACAGATTATTTTAAGAAATAATAACTAAGGATTTACTAAGAAATTGTACTAGTTTCACCTAGGCTAATAATATTAATCAATAACATTTTTTAGAGTATGGCAAGAATACATACAATAAGGTTAGTAGTATTTTAATTTCTTAAACCAAAGAAGGTTTTAAGTAGCGAACTTAATCTAACAAGTATATTAGAACAGTATGGTATTAAATTTACCTTATTAATTAATTAATTAACTTATGACGACCGGATGGCATTGTGGTTTATGTAACGGACTGCTATTCCAATGGTCGCGGATTCGATTCCCGCTCAAGTTAAACATTTGCGTGCATGAACATTTAATGTTTGATTTGGTGTAGGTGTTTCTATGTATAATAAGTATGTATTAAAAAAACTGTATATATTTATTTATATCGGTGGTCTAGTAGCCATAGTACAAGCTCTGCTTAGTTTGGGACTATTAATTTAATAAAATATTGTTATTATTATTATTCATTAAACTTGATGATTCAAAATCACTTTAGACACCACAAAGCTGAATTGTAGCCTAAAATCCTACTAATTAACTATATAGTTGACGGGTGTGTTGGTCTAGTGGTTAGTGATCCTAACTGCTAAGCCGGAGTTCGTGGGTTTGATTCTCATCCAGGGCTAATAATTGTGTGATGAGCACGATCGTTTGTTCTGTATCTGGGTGTACTTTATCTATAATATGTGCATTTTACAAAATAACAATATTTTCACACATTCCACACACGACCGTCTGATCCCAAAGGCAGAGCCTGTACTAAGGTAACCAGACTGCTGATAAACATATATATATAATTCTAAATACATACATATTATAGATAAAGTACACCCAGACGTAAAATGATGTAGAAACACATAATTGGTTTACAACATACCAACCTAAATTATTTAACTACTGTGGCACAAATTAAACTACTAACTTGATATAAATTTCGACATGACGTACAAGTAATTTATAAATAAATAACATAAGAAGCAGTAGTTTAATCGTTAATATGTTTCGAACAAAGTTCACCATAACATAAACACTAGTTCGGGTGTTTTCGGAGAGCTTCGGGAATGATCGGTTCAAAACAAAGTTCGGCGCTGCGCCGGCACCGCATTCACTGTGTTTAGTGTAACTGTGACATATCACATTGCGTGCGCGACTCAATCACTGACTATAACCTATAAAAATATTTTAAAGATTATTAGTAATTTAATTTACGAATATATATTTTTTTAGTCAATATGGATTCCACTGATAAAAGCTCATCAAAAAATATTAAAGCAACACAAGGCTCGATCTATAATCCGTGGAATTTGTTTACTACAAGAAACCGTACCGAAAGTGAAACCAGTGTGAGTTCAACAAGTTCACAAAACAGTCAGTCAGGTGAGACCCAGAATTATGTAATTTGTAAAGCCTATTATAGCTATATGGGTATTTGCCTCTATAATATTGACATACTATTGTGTTCTGTTTGCTACTGTCTGTATGTAACTCTAACAGGTTTCCAAATAATAAACATATTGCACTTAATTTGTTGTCATATTAGTAAATTATTTGCAAGAGCAGATAATCAACTATTTTAAATGTGTGATGATTTATCAAAAATGCTACTATTCTTAACAAAAAATCTTCAATAAACTAGAAGCAGAAGGGATTGTCTCATGACCATAGACCATAACGAGACTTAATTTACATTATCGTTTAAAAGTAAGGTCAACAGGCAAGAGATTGTAAACCAGTGGTTTTGTTTGACTGTTTAGTGGTACATGAAGTTCAAAGACAATCTAAGATATACGTACTCCAAGGTTTACTAGTAAATAAATTAATACTAATCATTTCCTAGATCCTGCTCTACCTTTTTTTATTTTTTCAACAAAGAGATATTAAGTCAGACAAAAACCCAATGTGTCTTATTACCGGCTTGAGTTTGGCTAGAATTATAATAAGTTTTTTTTCTATATGTTATGACTCAGTAACACAATAAAACAAAAATATTTTATTTTTATTTTTTATTAAAAGAGCGTTTATCTGTTCAGAAACCTTATATTTCCAAACTTACAATATGAATCCTTAATGATGAGGTATTCCCACACATTGTTTTAGGAGATACTGATATTATATAGTAGTAACCGTACTGCATCAATATATCTGAAAAATTTCAATTTGAGTTCAATAAAAAACGTATTCGTAAGACAAAATAATTTGTGTGAGAAAACGAGACATTTTTGAAATGGTAAATATAATAGAACGTTTCGACAAAATCTCGCTTTAAAACAATCGGAAAGAAAAGGTTAAACTTAATTTTAAAATATTTTGATTCCTGGAACAGCCTCTATGAACCACTTTTTGTACATGCATGAATATACATAAAGTCATTCATGCTTATAGAAACAGAGATAACTGATTGTATTAAAATGTTAACGTAAAATTAAATTGAAGAAGAAGAAGAGTAAAGGACAATGGCAGACATGTATGGGACTTTTGTACCGCCTGGCGTATCTCATGGTAGGGATCATTGTTGTATTTATTTGGCTGGTAATATCATCAACAATTACAGTTTTACTAACCACATTTTTAAAACTTTGCGTTTAAAAGTTATTTCAGTTTGTAGTTTGCATATAATATGCAAGTTGTACTGAAGTCAATAACAATGACAGCTGGTTGTCATAAATGAGAGTTGTAATTGCTGTCAACAAGTTAACATAGATGTCTTTCAAAATCATACTTTTATGATATTTTGAACTGTCAATAAATTGATGACCTGTCAAATCAGTTTAATTACTTTTTTTTATATTGTGTTCACGATTAATCTAATCGATTTCAGTAAAAGTTATTAGTACGTTACCTTAAATTAATTGATTTAAAATAATCATTCCTTTATTACTTCGTCTAATCTGTATAGACAACATTATTATTTAATAAATGTTTGTTTTAACTGCTAAAAACACTAGTGAGCTCATTCATTGATCTCTATGTAAAGATGTAGTTTTTTATATAATTTATATTTTATGCATTGCAAGTTTAGAAAACGTAGGAATGCATTTTGTTAACAACACTTGTACGTTTAGTTATTGCGGTTGTAACAATTCTTTGAGAAGAATTTATTAACTTTTAGCAAAGTTCTAAAAATATGATAATTACATGAAAATAGGATGATTCACCTTATAAACGGTACAAATTTCATAATCATTCATCATATATTACTAGTGGTACAGGATCTGCCGTTCTCCTTTGCAATAAAGTACTCTACTTAACCTTTATTGTGAAGTGTGGGAATGGACAGTTGTTAAAAGTGCACTTGGTGCAGAGATAATGAATGTAATTATTATGAGGGTTCGAATTCCACGTGGACATAATATATTTGTGTGATGAGCATGATCATTTCTTTTGTGTCTGGGTGTAATTTATCTGTAACATGTATCAGAAATATTCAGAAATGAATTAGTTTATTTTGAATAAACCGATTTTTTTCTTCTTTAATTATCTATAGAAAAAACTTGCATCATCTATAAGTACTGATTTATTATATTTATTAGGACTAAGAAAACAAGTTGAATCATTCTACTTATTGTTTCAAATAACTTCAATGCAATAAACAAGGATTCATATATCGAAATACCTAAACTGAATAATATTCCTAACACGAATTAAACGAATGCAATATGTGTCACCATTTTGTTTTGTTTTGTACCTCTATGTTTTTAAAAATATGATGCTGTCACTTTTATTCTTAGTAAGTAAGTAAAAGATTCAAATGAACTGTCGTGTTCATCTAAAAACACTCATCACAAATCGAATAACCGTAATTCAATGCCAGATGTTTCATATTCGGTTCAAGTTATAATTAGTCCCCCATGATGTCGGTGACCAGACAGCTAACATACAAATAATATTCATTTTTAACCTTACGCAGTACAAATACATAAAAATAAAATTGGAATGAAATTTGATTGGAATGGATGGTTCTGGAATATCGAATATTTATGTTATCTAGCAATAAAATACACTTCGTGGCGTCTAGACGTTACGTTACGTTCACATACGCATATGATATTCTATAGATATGACTAATGGTGATGTTATAAATGTATATATTATACGTGTAGAGGATTCTTTATAGGTAGATAGAGCAGTTTCAAGAAAGGTACGCTACCAAAGGATAATGAATTTGAAATATCTAATACTTAGTTTATATGTGTGAAATTTAAACTTATATTAGTATTAATAATATAAGTTTAAAATTGTGATGTAAGCCCTTTAGAATTGTGATGAGTTGCGCTAACTTTTGTAATAACATGCTATAGTACATTTCATACATTTTTTTTACACAGTAGCATGCCAAAGTTGATTAAAAGTTTAAATATATTGTTTAAAAAAGATTCTTTATTTTATTTTTATATTAAAAACTACGAATGTATAGGTCCTATTTAGAACTGCAATTAATAGTTATGTTACTTAGGTAGCTAATACAAAAAAAATGTGGAGAAATGTTCATATTTGTAACCACAGTATCTAATCATAGGCAGGTAGGTATCAAATTACAACATTTTTCAAAAAAGTTATTGTAACTTTGAGAAAAAAAGAGCTGTTTTTATTTTTTTATTTTTTCATGGGTAGTTATTGACCCGACCATACACCGGTACCGGCTTATCATTGAATTTTGGGACACGTTGTATATTGATAGTTAAAATTCGATCACCAAGCGATACAAACACAGAATTCGATGACTGGATAGATAACTTCAAACAGTAGGTATAATAAACATGTATGTTTTATTATAGTCTTGGTTCATTATCAGGGCCCACCCGTGCTTCACCTAGGTTCTCCACTTGGGTGAAGCAAGGATACAAATAGGGCCCACTGCTCCAACTAATGATTAGCTTAGCTTTATTTCTAATTTATAAATGTTTGAACAATCATCATCATCATCATCAGCCTATCGCAGTCCACTGCTGGACATAGGCCTCTCCGCCATTGCACGCCACTTAGATCGATTTTGGGCTTCTCGCATCCAGCTCCTGCCAGCCATCTTGCGCAAATCGTCACTCCACCTGGCCTGTGGGCGTCCTACACAAAAAAAAAAAAAATATATTATATATATATATTTTTTTTTTTTTTGAACAATCAGTTAACAATAATTTGCACTATAATTTCATAACGCATGCATATAACACGCGTCATGAAAATGATAGGTACGCTCTGGATACGGTTGCCAGTCCCGAAAGACTGGCAGCATATATGCAAAAAAAGAAATATACAACAAAATGTTAAAAGTCTCTTCTTCCTAATCGTTCCCTCACTGCTGGTGCTGAGACTGTCAACCATCTGTCTCTATAGGTTGCGGTTAGTCGCTCGGTAGAGTGCGATACTGCCGTCTCGGATTTATCGGAAATTATCGGACGTTATAGTACCCACCATCCCCTAATAGCTCGGCACGTTTTCAAACGTTCATTGTCGAGAGTACTGACTAAACAAAAATTAAATGAGAAGCTAGATCCACCCGATAGAATTAAACATTACAATAAATATGTATATTATGAAAATGTTGTCATTCATTTACATTTAAATGTCACAAACACGTCACAATTTTTAAACATGCATTGAAGAAGATTATCGAGGGTAAACTCTTATTTAAACAGAAAAATACAATAGGAAGTAAGGTGATCAAACAAAGGCATCAACAAATATGAACCGAGTTGTAATATATTTATTATACATCATGTTTGTAATTTTGTCAATCAAGGTTATGCTCCCTTAATTTATGATAAATATCAGTAACCCACTTAAATTGCATAATATCTTTTTTTTAGGTTTATCCATTCCTCCGATTAAAACAGAGATATCTTTTTATTATTTTTTTATAATATGCAGAAAATGACTGCTTTTACTTTATCAGCTTGCGATAGTATTTAGATAAAAATGCAATTGATAAGCGTCACTCTTTGATAGTTCCGTTTTCAAGGGCAACTTGATAAAAGAAGTTTATTCATAATATGTAACTATGCGGGGACTGGTACAGACTTACGTATCATTTCAATTATCCCTTATCATAAATAGGGCCATATGAATTATTATAACAATTTTATTGTGAAAATTGTTCTTACAAACTTGTTTAACAAATTAAATATGAGACTAGATACAAAATAAAAATTATCTAAAATTAGGTACACATATACCCCGTTAATGGTAATATTCCATTTTTCTTTATTCCATCCAAATATTGCGAAATAGTTAGGGACCTACTTCCTAGTCTATTAATATTAAATTAAAAACACTTCACACATGAAATATGCCAAAATGTTTCACCCAAAAAGTAACCTTCACACTATTATTTACTAACTCAATGTGTCATCACTTCGTTAGAATATAGGAAATGAATTTACATAAACATTCAAAGGAGGGGACTGATGAGAACGTTTATCCGAGCGTAAGCGTAGAGAAGTGACAACGTGACTCCGGTCAGGTAGGGAATCTGTCCCGAATTGTCCCCGAATTAGGCAAATATGCCGTCTCTTCGTTCGTATCTTAACATATTTTATCTCATTTTAATAAGATGACAGCTAAATAAAGAATGCATGCTTTAGGGCTAGGTTCACATACAAATAATTGTGGATCACAGATCTGGCTGTCATATTGATTCTCAGTGCACGATAAATTAGGTTTAGACAATCATTGTGATGCTTACACTATGATTGTGGCTGATCATACGCTAACGCGCGCAATTGTTTAATTTCAATCTAATTAGAAGCGGCAGTAAGCAGTGAGGTCGGAAATACACTGTAAATATGACGGCTTAATACCACACCCCATACACTAACACATGTAGTAATGTTTTACTAGTATGTGACATAGTAGGGTGCTTAGACAGAAACACTAATGAAATTAATGAATATTGAATATTTGAATTGATGATGAATATTTTATAAAAAAAATGCCTCTAATAGTCGTATGTATTGTGATAGAATTAAAAAATGTTGGATATGGAACGAAAATAAGAGCATAAGTTATGTAAGAAATTTTGTATTTTTGGACTTGAAAAACTCAAATGATAGAGATTACTTACTCTTTTGTTTTGATTTGTCTGCGTTTCTATTACTATACGCTAGCATTCATTCTCGTCAATATTTTTATCTCACATAATCTTGTATCTTTTTCATATGATTTTAAGTCTTTATGAAAATGTTCTCAATGTTTATCAGTGACGCATCCCAGGTTCTCAGAAAATATTAGTGTAATATGCAATAGTGTAAATTCGATATGAATTATCTTTTGGGTAAAGCGAAAAACAAGTGAACCATTAGCTGGGAAACATGTGGTTTACCTATTTTCAAAATCTTAAAAATAATTGCTTTAAAAAGAAAAACTTATTTATATTAATTATTCATAAAACCTTCAATAGTAAAACTAGGAGAGAAAATAGAGGACTTTATTGACAACACGTTCTATGTAAAATTGATATTTCGATCAGCTGCCATAATAATTAGCTTAATTTTTGTATTATGCTTTTAGGTACTCAGTACGGTGGACTTCAGAGGCAAACAACCAAAAATAATGAGGAATACCTTTGGATGATGTAAGTATTAATATGCATTATACATATACAAAATGTTAGAAATTCAAAATTTAATATTTTTTTATAAAATATCATTTTAGGAACATTAATATTACATTGACTATTTATTCATATCACATTACAGTGCAATAAGGAGTAAGTACCTACCTATCTATTATGCAAGGGCAAAATATGGCTAAATCGTAAGAAATTCTTTGATTTTTTTTTTTTTAAGTTCTTTCTTTAAATTCTATATGCTTGCAGGTTTATCATAATATGAGGGTTTATTGCATCTAGGTATTTTAATATATAATGATTGATATCATTGAGCATTAGAAGAAACATAATTTGTATGTAGTCTCGTCTGAGTTTAACAAAAAAAAAAACGTCTTCATCTATTATCTTTATCAAGTTATCGTAGTTTTCTTTGAACTCTCCGTTTTATGTACCACACATGGTGCCATGTAAAGGTTTACATGGTACCATGTGTGGTGTATTAGTTTAGGTACACTGAATGTGATATTTAATTGAAGCGGTAATAAATTATATACAAGTTATTAACAATTACATGAATTATAAAGTTTTATATGCAGCTCATGTTTGTGACTTTCATAAATTTCGAGCGCAAGTATAGCGCTAAACACAGGTTTTAATATCATTTTATATAGTTTATTATTCATGTACCTACTTTTAAAAAGGCGGTCAAAGCAAACTTGAAATAGAATAATGTCATATGTAGAGTGCCTTTCCGCCATTTTATACAAGGTTGACACCAACAATACGAACTCAGTGCCGACGGCAGAGAAAAGAATTATGTCGAATCACCTTTTGCCCTCGGACATAATTATGTAAGTAAATAATAATTATGGGAAATCGCAAATTAAAATGTTAAATATTAACTGTTATTAAGAATGATAATTCGAATATTTTACGTCTTAGCAAACCATATAAACAGAACACTATTTTTGAATGATTGAGTGAGTTTAATTTATTGGAAATCAACTATTAATTAATATAATTATTTTTTGTTATTTGTTTTTTTTTTAAGACTCCCGCAATAGGAATATATATCCTGTATCGCGGGGGACATTACATATATACATGAAACGGACACAAAGAACACCCAGACTCAGAACAACAATTTGTGGATTATACAAAGTGGTGTCCCATGTGAGGATAGAACCCACAACACTCGCGCAGTAGAAAGCGGCGTGGCGACCGCTAAAACCACTACGCCATCCGTGCAGTCAAAATGTTAATGATAATTATATTTTCAATAAAATCTTTGTGCTGATGATACTGGTTATTTATTGTAAGCTAATCATATAATATAATTAATAGATGTACATAAAGATAACAACAGTCAACGTTGTTAAACTACTCCATTGCCAAATAAAACTTTTTGTAGCAATATCGAACCATTAATATTTCGCTCAATGCAAATGGTTAAATTGAAATTTTAATATCACAGATCGACGTACCCGCTAACCAAATATGAAATGAATTGAATATTAAAAGATAATTTTTAAAATAGCAGCATGATTTATGATTGATTGATTGACATATAGTTTTCCACTGATTTCACAAAGTGTTGAATTCTTGTCATTAAAACTGCATCCATTGGTGAAAATATTATTAAACTTATGTAAGAGTCTATGCCTTCTTCAAGAAAAATGAAATTACTTAGTAGTAGGGTTGTTACGACGCCTACTCCGCAAGTACGAAATTGCCGCGGCATGATTTCCGCATGCGCCTCCGTAATTCTTTTGAGGCGATATATATTTCTATATAAAATCTATTTATTTATTAAATAATACTCGATGAGCAACATTGAGACCTGGGTTCAGTCGCGTCAAGTTAAAAATTGTGTCAAATCATTAGAAAAAGTAACTAATTTTTGATAAATTTCATTGAACTTGTCAATGGCGTTTAACATAAGATCGAGAAAAATTGCAGTAAAATTATTACATAGTTTAACTAACTGATGAATAAATCAAAGTGCTGCTTAGCCATACTTTAAGTCACTTAATACATACTTAACAGGAGATTTAGCCACTTAATTTGTTATTAGTACATTTTTGGGTTGATGAGATTTTTTAGAAACTGAGTGCGTTTGCGAACGAAACGATCAAGGAATAAAATTCAGTAAGATTTTTGCTCCCAGCCCGCAGCATTGCATTGTGTAAATAGTTATTTTGTTCAGTATAACTGTTAAAATTATGAAGACTTAATAAATTTCTTGTTTATAACTCTTCCTCTTAATTAATAATTTTAAATTACCTGACTGAAGACATTTTGTTTTAAATGTCTTTAATAAATCATTATTTAATTTCTTGAGGCGAGGCTCTTAACTTCTGCAACCGCCGTTGGCTAAAGAAAAGTCTCTTATACAGTTCTATATTTTACTTACTTTTATAATAATGTGTACATTCCTAAGTAAGTATAACTTTTAAACCGGAGGAGCCTTTCACCATTTTCTGTCGCCTAAAGTTTTCTTCATCGACTGTAAAAAGAAGTACTCAAATTGACTCAATACTTTTGTGTGTATGATACACAATTGCTTCGTTTTTGTGAATCGATTTCTATAATATATTTGTATTGCTTATACTGAAGGTAGATCCCATACAATTATAGATATATATATACTCGTATCTATTAATAAAATAAAAAAATATATATATAATCAACCAAAATATTAGCATGATTTGATACTTTACAAATGTTTACTTTGTATTATCATTTAGATTTTCACGTTGTCCATTTTTATGCAAAATTGCAAGCTCGGTAGAGCATAACGCTAATGTATTTATAATTGGAAGATGCAACCTCAATACAACTCGTTTAATGTTACGTAAACGACAATGACCGCTTAACCCATTTTTACAGTTTTCACGCTGAATCAATAAGTGATTTCTTATGAAAATATTATAACTAAAGGTTGCCTGGTGGTATTTTAATCATATTTTTTTGTTTCACATTAACATTAACTATAACATTTTAACTATTTATGTTTAAAACATTGTCTTAAAGGCTTACTCGCCTTTGAAAGACACTGTATTTATTAGAGTAGTGTATTTTCAAGAAAACCTGATAATGTTGAAGTTATTAATGTTTTACAAAGATATATCGTAACTTTATGGATACGAGTTCATGCTTTATCTGTATGAGGGCTTTATCTAAGAGATATGTATATGTTTATAGTCTAAGAAATTTATAGAAAGTCGAAAAGTCACGATACTTTTTGTTTTTTCTATTATTATCTTTACAAACATTTGTAAAAATTATAGTATTAAAGAAATACAATTTATTTCGGGAGCTTTAGAAATGCTTGTACGAGTATTAAGTGACATACTTCTGTTAGTTTTTACCACTGTTAACGAAGGATTTCTTATTAAAATAGCAGAACATATTTTTACATATGGGGTCATTCCTGAGAAACCTTTTTTTCACAAGAAAAACTATTACCCTTCCTTTGTCTTCCACAAAGGAAGGGTAATAGTTTAGGTTTATAATTAGAATTTTTCACTCGAGTTTTTCTTTTCTATCAAACATATTAAATACGTTCCAATAACCTATACCTATTGTATACCAATGTAAATTGTACCAATGTTATGTAAATATTATCAAAAAGATGAAAATAACTTTTGGAATTTCTTTGTTGTTTTTGATTGATTGGAACACTATATCATTTTAATGATTACTAGTGTAGATTGAGTTACAGTTCACAGTATTGTGGAGATGCACACAATATAGTATTTAGGTATAAAATTAGGAATATATAAATAAAAACATAAATATACAAAAGGATATCTTTAATTACTTTATTCCAAAAAATGAAATATTTCGAGTGCAATAGTTAAGTCTAGACCGCAAAAACTCCTAATCTTAAATTTTTTTAGACTTTAGTTTAATATTTTACGATTTTTGCTTCTATGACCCGGAAGCAAATGAAGGCGGCATCAAACACTCACTAAGAAGTCTATAGCAGTTACTTAAAAAAAAAAATTTGAGCTAACTTGACGATGTTAGACATCTTTGATTTAACAAAATAAGTAATCGATTGCTGTAGCGATGTGTGCGAGGACCTAACGTGTTTTTACGCCTAACGTCGATTTTGGCTCAATGGGGAAAAAATAAACTAGGCGACGATTACAGTAGTTCCTTATAATGACAGTGCTGATACCTTCACCTGAATAGTATACGCCATATTCACCTTCATAAATATTCCATTTTGAAGTGAAGTAAAATAAAAATCATGCCATATGATTGCAAAAGACGAGCTTATTAGCAATAATGGTAGGTCTCGAAGGTCGACCAGTTGTGGCTGCGAGGTATTTCTGCAGCCGCTGCAGTGTTTCACGCACTTACCGCCCGTTCCATACGTGGGAAGGAGAAGCAGCATGCCGCCCCGGTCGGCTTCCCCTCTCGCTTGTTGATGTCGAAACCTTCGGTTGCATGCGCTGGCGCTAGGCACAGAGAGCCGCGCGCTAAAGTTGACTACGCGATACAGTTGGACCAACAGAAGCCTAACGAATAGTGCTCTGTTAAAAGTGACAGTGAAATGCATGAAGCACGTGTGTAGCGGTAGCGCCGGGAGTAATACTTTCAGTGACCTCACTGGCTTCAGTTTCGGTTAGTTAGTGTTTTATAATTATGTGGGTCAAATCAAAATTACTTATGCCCTTTGATAACAATGACTCATAAGTCATATATTTCAAAACAAAGAAATATGGAATTATCGGCCATGACGACACGTCTTTAAAACCAGTTTGTGTGACGTATGTAGCATAATTTGTTGGTAGGCATCGGCAGTATAATCCGCTTTGTGCGAGAGAATAAATAAAAAATGACTAACGTAGTCATTTGACATTTAGTAAATGTTTATTGAATCAGAAGTACGCGTATAGTGTTTGAGGCAGTTAGCAAGATGTGAGGTGATTTAAATAAAACCTTCTACTATGATAATTTGAAGTTGTATTAAGGAAATACATCGCACAGTGTCTAATTAAGGAAATATTTGG